CGTTTTGTCTACTAGTGAATCATATAATTTGTGAACTGCCTTCAGCACTTTGACCAAAATTCGGTGGCGCTCATATACCTGGACTTGACTTTATAGCTGACCTTGAAAAACAATATTTTAAGGAAACTCACCCCTGATTCTTCTCTGAGCTAGAATACTATTTTGAAGCCTACATTATTCTGGGTCTAACAACGGCTTTGGCCTTTTAATTCAAAATAAAAAGTAATTATAAGCGCACCTTGGCACTTTTATCGCTAGCCCTCCACCGTTAAAATACTAGGGTAGCGAAGGCACGGGGTGGATGTAATACCGTGTCAGATATCTTGTTGTCTTTGACTTAAGTGAATTTTTTATTGATCATTATTTTATATCGATATATTATTCGAGCAGATCATGGAACAGAAAATGGAACTGTAGCTGACATTCAAAAGTACTTTACTGAGACTTGTTCAAGACTTTATGAAAATTCTAGGTTACCACCATTCCTTTATGGAAGCAGCCCTTCCAATCAACGAATTGAAGCTTGGTATGCAAAGGAAACATCATAGTCAGTTTTGGCTAAATGTATTTCACAAACCAAAAAGGATGATATGTTTTCAGGATCTTTCTTTGATAAAAGTCTTATTCAATTTTGTTTTTTACGGATAATTCAGGAATTTAAAATAATTAGTACACTTCAATCATTATTTTACTAGTAATGTTATAGCTTCCATTCTATTTATTTATTACCTTATGTAATAGCGACCTCTTAAATTTTTTTAATTTAATATCTAATTATGTAGACTTTGCTTGACCGAATAAGGCATCAATAACATTGTCTTCACAACAGCATGATGATGGATGTAGGTAATAACAATTCATTTTATAGGGTTGCAGTTATGTCCGAAATAAAAATTTCTGATGTCTATCAAAACATTTTCCCTTATGATTGAACCTCATTATAAGATATTATTTGTGATTATAGTTTAGTTTAATGCACTTTTTTAAATGCATAATTTTGGACTACGAAAAAACTTTTATTTTTACAAATTTTTAAGTTGAGTTTAGGTTTAATGCCATGTAGTACAAATTATAAACTACTGAAAGACTTTTTAATTTAAGTTTTTGTATATTTTGAAGTTGAGTTTATTTGTGCTTTTTTAAACGCAAAATTTTTACTACTAAAAAACTTTTATTTTTAAAAATTTTTGTTAAGAGGAGGTAAATCCTCCACTTAAGTTGTGATAAGTTGTTTGTTTAGTGTTACTGAAAGACTTTTTAATTTAAGTTTTTGTATATTTTGAAGTTGAGTTTATTTGTGCTTTTTTAAACGCAAAATTTTTACTACTAAAAAACTTTTATTTTTAAACATTTTTGTTAAGAGGAGGTAAATCCTCCACTTAAGTTGTGATAAGTTGTTTGTTTAGTGTTGTGTATAGTACAGATTGATTGGTTATGTTTTGACTCCCCCTTAACAACTTCATTATCAAACATAGGTACAAAAAAAAATTAATAAAATTTTAAATAGGACACCCTTTATTATGACATTACATTACAAAACTGTAAACCAAATTCATTTTTTAACGTTTCGATTTATTCTTAAACCATCGTCAGAAACATTTATAATTAAAAATATAATTTTTTGCGTTATTAGTGACAAAAGGTCAAATTGACATCACTGGAACAATCGCATGTCTAGCTGAATTAAACTAGGTTTCAAATAATAAATGTGTATAGTGCCAATAATGCAGTAGAATTTGGTATTAAGGAATCACTACATATTTATTATTTGAAACCTAGTTTAATTCAGCTAGACATGCAATTTTTCAAGAAATCAAAACATTAAAAAATGAATTTGGCTTATAGTTTTGTAATTGTTTTTAATTTTCATCAAATTTGGCGAAGTCGTTACCTTTCTACAGTTCTTTTAACAATCTAATTTTAATGATATAGGTATTACACTTGATACCTATTATGGATAGTAAAGGATCTTGAAAATCAGTTTTTATTTGACTTTAGGTGAATCCAGTTGTCAAACGGTTGAAAATAAAGAAAGATGGCTTCATGTTTAATTTTTAACAAGCTGAAAATCCTTTACTAGTAATAAAAGACATCAAGTGTGATATATCATTAAATTCAGCTCATTACGTGGAAAGATAAAATGTCAGAAAAAAATTATTTTTTAACAAATTATATACAAATTTTATTACAATTCTACAACTTTTGTTTGAGACTTTTATTTTGTAATGCTAATAATCAAAATATAACCAACAAGCTTGTACAATCACGTATCCACATTTAATTTACTTATAAGAAAATGAAAATGACTTAGTTTTGTGTTTTATTTATGGACCTGTCACATTGAAACAAATTTTAAAACGTGAAACTTACCTACCTAATGTTCACTTTAATGCTGCACTTTATCTTACTAATCAATTGACCTGTATTTATATTTAATCAAAATTCAGTTTTCCACTTTGCATATTGGATTTGAATTCCTAGGAATGTTAAGTAAAAAAAATAATTTTCAAATCAATTTTTTAATTTCATTTCGTAAAACTATATATAAGTCAACTGCATCATTTGGAAGAATTGGCTGTGATAATCCCATTTCATTCATAATCTCCATTGCTAACTCATATACGTCAACATCACAAGGTATGTTATCTGAAAATAAACATGCCTCTCTAGGTAGCAGAAGATCATTTTCTGTAATCTGAGTTATATAATCCACTGTTTCATACAATTGGGGAACGTGAAACATTAGAAATGGTCTTCCTAGTGGACTAACACTATTTTTTGATGACTGAATTATATGCATATCCCATTCTTGTATTACAATATCCAGTTCTTTCTGGAAGGAAATAAAAAATTATTCTATAATAACAAGTCAATTATTGAATGTATGTATTTTTGCAAAATTCCACTATATTTGTAACAATATAATATACTAATCTTGAAACTCGACAAAATTGTTGTGCAAGATAAGTATTACAAATATAGTGGAATTTTGCATTTTATTATATTTAAAATGAACAGATTCCACGAATTAAGGGTAGAAACAATTAATATATTTATTTTTATCAGGACAATAATAGTTTTAGGCTTACCTGAATTATCTCTAAAAAACAAAATTGAATAAGACTTTTATCAAGGAAAGATCCTGAAAACATATCATCCTCTTTTAGTTTGTGAAATGCATTTAGCCAAAACTGACTATGATGTTTCCTTTGCATACTCCACCAAGCTTCAATTCGTTGATTGGAAGGGCTGCTTCCATAAAGGAATGGTGGTAACCTAGAATTTTCATAAAGTCTTGAACAAGTCTCAGCTACAGTTCCATTTTCTGTTCCATGATCTGCTCGAATACATAAAGGAAATCCTCCAAGGTTTTCTACACTTTCTACATAATAACCAGCAATTACTCTTGGATCATTTGTATTTTTTCCTGCTCTTAACCAAATTATTTTTCTCGAAAAACCATCTATACATCCACTAATACAGACTCCAAAAGGCTTAAGTTTGTCATAACAATCAATATGCCACAAATAGTTTGGACCTCTATTGCGGTATTGTCTTCGACGCAATCTTCGTCTTCGACGTAATTCGACACCTTCTGGATCCAGTATTTTTAAAAGCATTCGTATGACTTCTTGTGTAACCACAAAATTATTTTGGAGGCACTTTAAATGTAACCATTTATAACCATGTAACTGTCCATGTGTTTGTAAGTTTTTTTCTACAAAATCGGCGACATGTAATATATCCGAATATTTCTTTCGACGACATAAATTTAAGACTCTTAGTTTTCTTCTCAATGTTCGTTCACTTATAGAAATATTATGAATGAACTGTAAAGATAGAATAATCTCCTTCTGTTGTAATCCTAATGTAAAATAAAATTTTATCCAATTATTAATTTCTGACATGTTTCGATATTTGAAACTTATAGCGAAACTGGTACACTATAATAATAATATATCGATATAAAATGATCAATAAAAAATTCAGTTACGAAGAAAACTAGAAAGCACAGTGAAATGCAAGATCTTGATCAAGTGAGTGGAGTACAAAGTGAAGAAGCTGGTGGAGTACAAGGTAGTATCCTTGGGTGGAGTATGCCCGATATTCTCATGGTCCCTCTCTTCTTCTTCTTTTTCTGGTTTCTTGACCACTTGCTTTGCAGCATCCGGCCAATTTATGCCATCATAATTTTTCAAACTTTCAATAAATAATTTATATCAATTTACAGATTATTCTGTCAATTTACAGATTAATCTGTCAATTTACAAATTATTCTGTCAATTTACAGATTATTCTGTCAATTTACAGATTAATCTGTCAATTTACAGATTATTCTGTCAATTTACAGATTAATCTGTCAATTTACAGATTATTCTGTCAATTTACAGATTAATCTGTCAATTACAAAAAAAAAGTTATAGTGGCCGCTCTACGCTTTCGTATTATGTGGTGCATGTAAATAATAAAAATTCATTAAATTAAACTGATTCCGGTGACTTATGAAAAAATGATACACTATTTAAATTATCTGATAATGAAAATACAATTTCCATTATCAAATAATTTAAATAGTATTTAAATTATCAGAAAATGGAAATGGACTTGAAATAAAATATACTCAATTTTGATGATTTGTAAAAAAATGATATATCATTTAAATTATCTGATAATGAAAATAGTATTTCCATTATCAGATAATTTAAATAGTATTTAAATTATCAGAAAATGGAAATAAAATAGGTTGAATGAATGGTAGGTCAAATATAACGCCATGAAGTAGTGGTTCTGTCAAAGTCAAATATATTCAGTACAGTGTTGTCAGGTCTACCGTTTTGGCGGCAGATCTACCGTTTCCATATACTATAGGCTTCCATACCTGACTGATTGGCGTGATTTACTACAATAGATTGAGAAAGAAATTAAGATTATTAAGAAACAAGGATAATTGTATGGTTTGTGGTTTGGCTTTGCTTGCGAATATTGCAATTTTTATTGCTATGTCGACAACAGGTTCATTAGCTGTTTCTTCAGCACTTCTTAGAGCAACGGCAATGACTAACTCTGATGATGATTTTGAAACGCTTTTACAAAGTACAAGGAGGGCATTCCGTCCTAATAATCTAATAAATAAACCAGGAAGAAAAAAGGCCAAACAGTTTAAAAGATGTGTAATGCTTTTGAGAAGAAGTAATGTAGATTTCCTGCCCTCACAATCTGAAATAGAATTTCTTACTGATAGGGGCCTAGGTGAGTGTGTAAATGTTACAAATAGACTGCAAACTATTATAGGTTGTAAATGTGTACCTATATAACTGCCGTCAGAAGAATCTCACATTTTTTAATAAAATGAGTTAAAGCGATTTTCCAATATTATATTGCCAAATCTACCAAAAAAACATTGATATCTTGATTAAAAAAAAGCAATTTGAAAATTAACAAAAATGTGTGTTATGTTTTTTGTATGCCGATGCTACACAAAATATTAACTAAAATTTGCTACATTTATTCGATAGTCTAATCAGTAAATTTATGTAAAAAAGCACATAAGTGATAAAAAATGTGACAAAACTTCGGTCATTTGCTCAAAACTAATATGTGTTTTTCTAATTGATGGCAGTATAAAAGTGTAAGTCATTGTCTATAAATATTCCTAGTTTTTCTTCAAATATGCAAAATGTGTCTACTATTTATAAAATGCATAGAAATTACAAAATAATGTGAGAAATTGCCAAATATGTTAAAAACTTAGATTTATTAAAATAAACCAACAAAATTGTACATATTTAGATTAATCTCACATGCATAGTGTGTTTATTATGCAAAAGAAAATAATAAGATGCGATGTCACGTTTGCAGCTGAGGCAGCACTGCAAAAACCTGTTGAAAAATATTATATACACGGAAAATGTGTAAATGCCAATAAATTGTACTACTAATTGTATTGTTGTATTGTTTTACCTCTTAATAAGTTTTGTACTTCATCTTTATGTATGTATTTAATTAAGTAACTTATGTGAATGAATGTTTTCTATAAATTTTACTATTGACTAGATTAATAAGGGAAAACTATCTTTCAAAGGCAAATAAAATAAATTATTTTTATTTAATTAAAAAAATTGTCGTTTAAATGCATTCACGTGTTTTGTAAGAATTAACACATTTGGCAATAGAACATACTTTATTTCTATAATTTGTACGCATTTTTAGGGAAATTCAAGAATGCATTGTTTGAAAGAAACTGGTCTATAGAACAAATAGAAAACTATATTATAAGCCTCTACCAAAAGTTGCCTCTTGGTCTTGTTGGATTTAAATAATCGAGAATTACAAATTATTAATAATGCAGAGAATGCTATTGATCTCTTTGAAAAGTTGGGCCAAGGAATGCTTGTTATAGTACCAAATAGAGATTTGCCAGTAGAATTACGACTTACAAATAATATGGTTATTAATGAAGTAGAAAGTAACCAAATTAATAGGGAAGAAACCATTATTGAGGCTACAACACAAGCTAACATTCCAAGACGAAATGTAAATGACACACATACAGAAAATGAACCATTTTCCAATTTTATACCACAAACTCGACAGCCACAGCTGATAGGAACTGCTGGTTTTCAAGCCATAACATCAACTAGTATGGTAGCCATACAAATTGTGTATTTGGTGTATTCAACCATGAATGACGAGAAACTTATTGAGTTGGTCCGCGGTTATCCCGTTTTGTATGACCTGTGCAATGCAGAATACATGGACTCTCATTTCAAGAGTGCTATCTGGAGTAAAGTAGGATAAGAAATGAAAACAGAATGTGAATAAAACTATTGGTCTGGGCACAGAATGAACACGAGGTCGTTACTATGCAATTCAAGATATTTATTTTGCCTGCATTTTTTTGAGGTCACATGTTCATTCTTTGACCAGACAATCTGTATTTTAGTTAACTTTTTTTACCAATAACAATAGGATATAATAATGATGATAATTAAACTTATATTTTTCTTAGATTATTTTTTATGTTTGTTGGCTATTTGGTAACCATGGGAGAGATCCAGCATCAGAATTGAAAAAGTCAGTGAATGTTTCTCGTACGCGAAATGCATCTGTCGTTGCATTTTCTCCTTGCAAATGTAAATTTTGTAATGTGCGATTCTCGCTTCTCAGATCCATTTGCGAATTATGTTATCTACATATTTTGGAAAGGCCTGAAATTCTTCTATTGTAAAGTCTAATTTTTTTAATTAAAATGCCAAAAGTGTTTTCGGATGTCCGCCTGGCACGACATAAACGATATTTGAAGTTACGCTTCCGATCATCATGATTATCCCCTGGATATGGTTGCATTAAGTATGTTTTTAAAGGAAATGCTTCGTCACCTACAATTAGGTATGGTAGATCTTGGCGGTATATTCAAAGTTCCTTGCTGAAGTGCTTTTCCTAACGTTGATTTGGTAAAAACTCCTCCATCACTATCTTTTCCATATGCCCCTACATCCACAGCAATAAAATTACAGTGAGCATCTACAAGGGCTAACAAAACTATGGAAAATGTTTACATTGATCCGGAGTTAGGAGGAGCCTGAATAACAATGTGCTTGCCATCCATAGTTCCTATACAGTTAGGGAAATTCCACATTTTATAAAAATCAGTAGCGATTTTCATCCACATTTCCTGTGTCGGAGTAGGCATCAGTTCGTTCATTAGATGGGTAGTGATAATCTCGCAGGTTTGTCGTACAATTTTGTGAACTGTACTATGTCCTAGACGATAGCTAAACGAAATTGTGTTCAGTGCATCTCCAGTGGCCAAATATTTGAAAAAAATACAGTAGAGATAAAAAAAATGTACTCGATTATTTTATGTTTTTGTTTTGTTTATGACAAGAAAAGCCTATAATTCTTCTTTTTTTTTAGGGTCTGTATGCAAAACTTGGGACAACTTCAGAAAATGTTTGAATAAACAAAAAAACTAAAAGTGGTCAAAAAGCAACAAAAGTGGAGCCTTACAAATATTCAGCGCAGTTGAGCTTTTTGAAGAAATTCTTTGAGCAGAGGGAGTCCACGACGAACATTAAGGACGAAGTAAATACCGAAGATTTCACAAGTGAAACAGAAACTGAAGAAGTATCCGAAAATGACCAAAATACTCAAGATCAAGACTGTACAGTTTCAGAAGTTAACGATACCATAACTACACAATCAGAAAATCAAACTTCAATGATATCAACAGCAACAGGTACCATTCCACGAAAAATTAGAAAGCTGTCAATACCAACAAAGCCTACTGCTCCCCCCAAAACGGCTGCTGCTACAGTTATGGAGTATATTGTTGACCGAAATAAAAGTCACCACCAACGCAGCACCCTGTTGAAGCTTTCTTAGCAGGGATAGCTAAGTATCCGCACAAGAGTAGCATTTCGCCAAAGCTGAAATATTACTTGGAAGAACAAGGAAGAAGCGTGGAAAAATGTTGAACGGGAATTCAGCAGTACCTCATCCACGCCAAGGTCAGTAGAAGTCCTGAAACGCTTCTACAATAATAAAAAGAAGGAAACACGGAAACAGGCTTCAGTGCAAAAAGTTGAATTTAATAGAACTGGTGGTGGAATGCCGATTGTAGAGGTTAAAGATGATCCAGTTTTTAATCTGACCCTGGACATCATTAATAAAAAAACAGTGTTTGGGCTGCACAACAAATTCAATGATGATGCTGAATCAGATGTAGAACAAGTGCAGCCAAATGGTGTAAACGATGAACAATCGGTAATTGCTAATTTAGCAAATAATGATGGAATTATTATTTTTCCAATGGATGATGATAGACTAGAAAATAATTTTGTGGTATGTAAAATATTTTTTAGTTTGAATCCTTTTAATGAAATACTTTTTTTTAGGATGAACCTCCAGCAAAATTATTGATATGTACACCATCATCAAGAAGGACAGTGGGTGGTTCTTCATGTACACCATCATCATCAGGAAGGATAGTGGGTGGTTCTTCATGTGCACCATCATCATCAGGAAGGACAGTTGGTGGTTCTTCATGTACACCATCATCATCAGGAAGGACAGTTGGTGGTTCTTCATGTACACCATCATCATCAGGAAGGATAGTGGGTGGTTCTTCATCACTATTATCTATAGTGGCTAGTTCATCAACAGCAGGAAGGGCAGCGATTAGTATTAACAGTGGTGATGGAAAGCGCAAACATAAGTCACATTTTTCTAAAGGGAAAAATGTGGCTTTAAAATATGAAGAAGTTGCAGACATAAAAAATCAGTTTTTGATATCGTCGGCTGGACTGCAAAACCTCGTATCTGCGTTTCCAATAATTTTACAGGAGAGGGTAAAACCTGTCTGAAAGAATAAATTATCGATTTTAATGTTATACTTTTGTTTATTAAAACTCAAAATACATTCCCTTCTTGGATATTAACATTGAACATACAAAAATAAAAAACTTTCTAACATTTTTCACATACAAGCTATTGAACTACACAAATAAGTCAAAAATATCAAATACGAGGTTTTGCAGTCCAGCCGACGATATGCAGTTAAGCATATTGACTGCATGTAAAGAAGATTTGGACCAAAAAGAGGGAATACGAAAGAAACCAAAGTAAATTGAGGGAATTCCGGGAGCAAGAAGAACACGAGTTAAAGAAAAAATCTGTAAATCTAGACATTGAAATTAAAGAAGCCCAGGTAGCTGCTTTAAAAAGGGTTTAATCTTTTATTTGTGTCCCTTAGTTTGTAAGTTAGATGTATATGTAAAATAAATCTGTAAAATTCAGGATGGAAATTAATGTTTTTGTGCAAAACTGAATAAATCCACTAGTAATGTGAAGTAAATAACACACTGGCATTCGATGTTTAAATGACAACACTGCTACATCATTAGCATCAGTAACTATATTACAGGATAACAATACATGGAAAGATGAACAAGTCAGACTGCTAATAGAAACGTACCGAACTAACAAAGAAAAATATGAAATGGGAAAATATACAAGAAAAAAATTTGGAACATCATAAGCAACATGCAAAAAAAAGGTGTAAATGGAGATGCTACAAAAGTAGATGAAAAGTGGCGAAATTTAAAAAAAAACTACCAAAAAGTTAAAGTAGATTTACAAAAAACAGGAAATTATGATGTAAAATTGTTATATTTTAAAGATTTTGAGGATCTATTTTGTAAAGATCCTTTATTTTCACCCCAAAATGTGGCTTCTAGTTCAAAAAGACCACTAGAAGCATTAGATATGAATATTCAAAATAAAAAAAATACATTCTCACCTGGGGAAGAAAAGAAAAAGGGTTATGTTGTAGTTGAAGGGTCTCGAAATGCAGGAAGGTGTGCAGACAGCATTCGGTGCTACAAAAGCTAGGTTATGTAGTTTATTATTATTACGCCGTGACTACGTGCCGCTAATTTTACTATTGGAGGCACGCTAAACTCGATCAGGTGTGTGTGTTTTTGTTGTTTGTTTCCTGTTTGTGAAAGTATAACCTAACCTAAAAACTATTTTAATTTAATTATAACGGCAGTCTTTATTTATTTATTATTGTCGGGTGGGTCTTTAGTCTTTAACTTTTAATACCTAATGAATGATACAGGCAAGTGTTTATTATAATCATAAGGAAAGAATAAAATTTACCATTATTTTGCAGGTGGTATAAACAATCAAATGTCAGATGTTGGTGTAGACATTTATTTGGGTCAAAAATTTTCGTCTTATCAAGAATTAAAAGACCATCTAAAAAAATATGAAGCTTCCCAGAAGCAAAAGTCGGAGTATTACTAATGCAGAAAAGGGTCTTAAAAGATCATTGAAGCAGTAACTGCAATTTTATGAAGTTGAATATGCGTGTATACATGGAAAATCCCGCCCTAAGAGAGGTAATGGATTAAGACGTACAAGGTAAACAAGTAGCATGATTTTGTTCTGACATATTATGGAATAAATTTTATTGAAATTACAGTACACTACGAATGGGCGGGCTGTGAAGCTAACTTTAAATTACGTGTATGTCCTTCAGGAGAGTTTTTACTAATCCGAAGCACAAATTTATATCACAAAGGACATGATCATTCTGTAGTAAGTTATAGCAAAAATTATGATTATATACCTACCTAATGTAATATGTTTTATGCAATAGGATGTTTTTGATCATCTACATCAAAATCGACAACTAGAGCAAGTGGAAACATACTTATCTTTGAACGCTAACAAAAAAAAAATTCAAAACAAAATATTATTGGATACTGGCAAAAAAGCAACCCTAAAAGACACAATACTAACTATAGGTCAAAAATTAAGAAAAATTATTTAGAAGAAGCTGTGATAATTCTAAAAGATAAATATAGTAAATAATATATGTTTATTTGTCAAAATAAATTCTTTTGCTTAAGTACATTTTTTTTTTTTCAGAATGCAATGTTGACATTCTTGGAATTTTTCTTTATTATTAGATGATGCAATTCCATTAAATGATTTGAAAATGTATTTCACACCTCAAGCCTGGAATCTATTTGAAATTAAATTTAAACAAAAAAAAGAAGCCAATGAATGGTTTTGCAGAATTTGCTCTGAGAATCTGGGTCAATATGAGCCATCAATAGTTTGTGAATGCTGTCTTTTTTGGTTTCATTTAAAATGTGTTGGTCTTACCCTTAACACAGTTCCTGAAAAAAACCTGGTTTTGTAATTTATGCTACAAATAAAAAGAATGAGAAATTAATGTTTTTTTTTTAATCCTCTATTTGATGCTTTCATAAATTACAACCATACACAAAGGTGTTTTGCAATCAAATGATATCTCTATATATCTATGGAGAAAGATGCAAAATACTGGTGAGGTGATACATTGTAATATATGATTTTGTTTCGGTGTCATATGAGAACACTTTATTATACAAAGCACCTAAAACACTCTTTATATAGTTGAGGTCGTAGGAAAAATTGTGTAGATTACACGTGGGAAAGTATATTTTATGCTCTCGATATGTTATCCTTCCTTCATTCCCTCAATATTTGAAAATAGAGGTTGATATGCGATGCTACAACCATTTATTTAGCGTGCCTCTAGTGGTAAAATTAGCGGCATGTTAGCGTGCCTTTAGTGATAAAATTTGCGGCACGTTAGCGTGCCTTTAGTGATAAAATTAGCGGCACGTTAGCGTTCCCCGAGTCACGGCGTTATTATTATTGTTTGCCATTGTGAATTCAGAATTGCTCTATTTTAACGGTTTCGTCGTTAGTTAGTTAGTTAGAAGTTTCGTAGGTTGCTGATTCAGATTGAAAAATGCCTATCTTTTGTTTTAATTGTGAAAAACTATTTTCCACTCAGTCCACTCTAAATCGTCATATGAAGAATGTGCATAAAATTGAGCCCCAATCCATAGAGTATGAGGAATCTGTTGGTCTTTACAAGTGTCGTGAAGGCTGTATGGTTTCTTTTAAGTGTAGCAGTGAATTGCGTCTTCATTTAAATAACCAGCATCGTTTCAGTGGTTTCAAGGGCGAAAATAAGAATTTCAATTCTTATGAAGGTAAGTTGTTTTGATGATTAAGGCGATATTCCAATTTTTATTTATTTATCTTATATAGATTTTGAAGTTTGGCTTCATAAAGAAAAGGAGAGTAGGAATGTTGACTTTGTCAAATCTAGAGGATCGGTACGGTACAAGGATTGTGATAGACCTATAGAAAAGACGTATTTTGATTGTAATAGAAGTGGTATGAGGTTATACAGAATATAAATAGAGTATAGAGCATGTTGAATTAACTATTTTGTTTTTTATTAGCAATAGATACTCCTATTGTCTGAACCAGTCAACTTTTAGCGTAAAAACTTAAGGTAGGTTTAGCATTAACGATAATGTAAACATTCTGTTTGCCCTTCAGATGACCCATAAAGTGGTGTCGCTGTTGTTTGATGCATTAATAAAGATCTATCGAGTAGTTGTCAAGGGTCACGTGATGTCGACTACAAATGTCAATTTCGGACGGTTGCTACTATGCGGGTTGCTACATGGAGGAAAGATGGGTCGCTATGAAGCTGAGTCGATACCAGTGCTGCGATTCTGCTTCCTCGATTCTACACGAATCGAATAAGTTACTTGACTCGATACCAAATACGATATCGAATAAAATTTAATTCTCATTGACTATCGAATTTTCGATACCAAATAGATAAATTAATATTAATTTATCTATGAGTATACTCGTAACTGCATCAGGTAAACTCTGTGTCATGTTGATATCAATAATCGCCTAGAAACGACACGAGCCGCACTCTGTGTTGCATTTGAAGGTGTCATTTGTCGCTTTGTGTCAATTTATTCTTGGCTGACACGTCCTTCTATTCAACTCCCTTAGACGTGTCGTATTAGAGAGAGAGAGAGATATATATCGCTCTGTAATTTGAGTCTTGGGGTAGAAAGAGATCCATATATTATTATCAAAGGAAAGGAAATTGAGGTTATATTTTATAATCACGTTTCACGTTTCATGACTCGACTCATATTTGATTGATATTCGATAAAAGATAAAACTATTTTATTTAAGATGAAAGTAAGAACAGACCATTGGGATTTGTTATTAACGATGGCCGAAAATACTCCAAAATTAATAACGAATAAATTTAATGGAATTGCTGGCAAAGCCAAAGACCACGCCATGTGGCAAACGTTGGCAAATAGATTAAATGGTTTGGGCTTTGGCGAAAAAACCACAGCAGAATGGAGAAAGGTCAGTTTTGAGTATGATCTTTTCTTTAACATTTACCTAATATAAAATATTTTTTTAGGCTTTGACTGATTGGAAATCAAAAATAAAAGCCAAAGCCGCAAAATTGAGAATGGCCCAAGAAGAAACTGGAGGTGGACTTTCTACGGCATTACCCCTCACAGAATATGAGAAGAGACTTCTTAGTTTAATGGGCAATGTTGCCGTAGAAGGTGATAGGGCAGTAATTGAATTTGGCTGCGAGATAGGCGAGGAAGATGTCCAAGAAAAACACACCGTAGAACATGCCCAAGAAAAACACACGGTAGAATATGCCCAAGAAAAACACATATCAGAGGATCATGATTATGATAGAAGGTTGGTAGATTCTCCAACTCCGTTAAAAAGGAAACGGGTTAGAGAAAATTCAAATGTGCGCATTTCAAATGAACTACTTGAAATGAACAAGGAAACATTAAACGTGCTATCCAATATTAATTCAAATATTGAGAGCATAGCAGAAATAATAGCAGCAAATATAAACAAATAATTTTCGTTCGTTAAAAGCTGGGATCGAGGTTCATTGGCCAGACGCTAATGGAGGTTGGTTAGGTTTTTTTCAATTTGAGCTGTGTCCAGGCCGTTGGAGTTTATGCCGGTCGGCGTAGCCAGGTGTGGTTTCAAATTTTCTGGTGGCGGCAAAGCCGCCACCCTACAAGTAGTCATTGCTTCTTATTGTATATTGTTAGTTTAGGTTAGTTAATTTTTTAGTTTTAATTTGAACATTAGAAAAATAATTATATTTTTTTTAATATATTTTATATTTATATTTAACCAAACAAACGCTTTTTTCAATTTTTTCGAACAAATATTGTTAGATAAGACCGTTGTCTGTATAAATTCAAGAATAAAGTCCATTAGATATAAGATGAATTTCCATGTTATGACAATGACATTTGTATTTTGATTTACCGCCAATATTGAGCGTACGACAAGGGTAATATTGATTTATCTCGATTTTTTATTGATTTTCGCCAAAATGGTTAATAGTGTTACAATTTTAATAATCTTCGAAGCGTGCAGAAATAATGATAGTCTGCACGCAGGGCATAGGTAATTATATTTCAGCACTTCATTCTTCATAGAGTACTACATGTAGTACCGCTTTCGGTGCTAGATGGCCCCTATATTTAAAGAATTCTGAAAAACAGAAAACCTACCTGCCATTCTTTACTGTTTTCCTGTTTGCAGATAGAGGGATCTCGTATCACTTTCGTTTTTGGCGTAACCAGGGGGTAATAAATTATTACTTATTTTTTCTTAATTTATTGTTCACATTGAGACCTCTAGTAAGTATTTTACGCAATTTAGTTCCTTTTAGATTTTTAGTAATATGGAAAAGAGAAAGAACCGGTCTAGATCAGCTTCAAAGAAACATAGGTTTTCTAGATCTGACCTTGAAAAAAGACTTTTAAAACTGGAACAGGCACTAGAAAATAGAACACCCTTAAGGTCCTCATATGTCTCCTCTCACCGAAGCTGCAGCTCGTCATTGTTACGAGGACATTCAATTGAAAAAAGTCCCAGCTCTGGGCAAGACTCTGAGTCCAATGATCGCAGCCCTGTAAGAGGCTAGGAAAGGACCAGCAGAGCATAATCAAGTTTCGCGCACTGCAGAGGTCAATCAAGAAGGTATTCTAACAATCCACAATGACGAAAAGGAAGACGATAGCATATTAGAATGTTTAGGCGATGATCCTCAGGCTATAACAGCAAAAGCTGCAGACCTCCATAGCGAGGTGATAAAAAGGTGGTCTTATATATTGATAAATGGCATGGAGAAAGATGATTTAGCAGAACTGCTAAAAAAGTACCCACCCCCAAATAATTTTCCTAACATAGAAGCACCGGAATTAAATTTGGAAATTTCACGAGCCATAACACCTATGTCTCAAAAGTGCGATAAATACTAAATACAGGCTCAGACATAATTACAAGCTGGAATCACAGCTATTGGGGTAACAATTAACAGCATTCTCAAAGAGAATAATGAATTTGGTAATAACGGGTGTCCCAAAAGTTTTGGGAAAAAGTTTGTCTGTGCTCTGCGGAGTAAGGTAACGCGGACCAACATTGACATTGGTATAACATTGACACAATTTCTAAATCCAATCGAAAATGTGACTGCATTGGTAGCCAGACCGTTTTCTCCTTATGGTGCTCTATTACCATCCGACGGCTTTGTATAAAAGTAATGCGCATGCTCCGCAGCCAACCTGTGGATTCGTAACGGCTGCTTTTAACAGCTGATGTTCAACGTGCTCCCAATATTTGCATAGAAAACTTTGTGAATTTTGAGTCAACAGGCCCGAAGTTTTGGTGTTAAAGGTAATTTAAGTTCTAATTTTAATATAATAAATCAGTTTTTTTATCCGTTAGTGATTTTGTAAAACTAAATATTAAGTTTATGAAAATTAATTTAAGGTTATGTTTGACAGTGTCAATGTTAGCCCCTACTCCAACATTGACACAGTCAATGTAATCCTTAGGCCAACATTGACTCTCAAAATTTTTTTGTAGATGGCACGCACAACGAAACCCAGACGGCCTAATATTCGAAAGTACAAGTCCTATGATCCCGAGGCTAAGCAAAAAGTTCTACAAGCAGTTAAAAAAGGTGACAGTTTTAAAGCAACCGCTCAACGTTATGGCATAAACCGGGTAACTTTAATGAACCATTTTAAGGGAATTAAGTGTAAAGCTGTTGGACATCATACAGTTTTAACCTATGAAGAAGAGGAAATGTTGGAGCATACGTTAATTAAGCTTGGCGAATGGGGCTTTGGATTCGACCGACTACAACTCCAAAGGTGTGTGCAAGGCTGTGCAAAAACTTGATCGACCGAATCCGTTCCGCAATGGAATGCCAGGTATTGATTGGTGCATGATGTTCGAAAAAAGATGGTCTAAAGAAATAAGTAGACGAGTGGCTTAAAATCTTCCCAAGAATAGAGCTGTAGCGGGGTCACGGGAGGTAATGGAAGATTGTTATAATAAATTGGAAGCTGTCTATTCGCGTTTCGGTTTGGATAAAAAGCCACAGAACATCTTTAACTGTGATGAGATTGGTTTTCAAACCGATGCAGGTGTCCAGAAAGTTTTGTGCAAAAGGGGTAGCCGAAATCCAAACAAATTAGTCGGTAGCGTCACAAAAGCTACGTACACGGTTCTTATGTGTTAAGATTAGAAAGGAGATTTAAAAGAGACAGATCGGACCCCTTTGCTCTATCTGATACCAGATTTATTGAGTTGTTTAGGCTGAAAATATTAGCGGAACAACTCTGTAATTCATTGGAAGAGCATTTAAAAACAGGACGATATATTACTGCAATACCAGTAAAAATAAAAGTTCTTGCAGCGCTACGTTTCTTTGCGAGGATTAAGTCAAGCTGCAACACATAGGTAGGTTATTTATTTAGCGAAAGTATATAAAACCAGTACCTACATGTAAATAAAGTAAATTCAAGGTTTACTATATTATTTTTAGATGCATTAATGAAGTTGCAGTGGCAATTGATACTCATTTATCCCAAAATTCAATTAAATTTCCAACTGATAGAAGGGAAATGAATGTGGTGAAAGGAGCATTTATGAGACGCTTTAATTTTCAGATATAATTGATGCTATAGACTGCACCCACATTGCAATTTTAAAGCCAAAAGAGAAAGAACATAATTTTATTAACAGAAAAGGATTTCACTCATTAAATGTTCAAATTATTTGCGATTCATTTCTAAAAATTATGAATGTAAATGCAAACTATGGAGGTTCTAGCCATGATTCATTTATTTGGAGGGAATCTGAGGTTCATAAGTTTCTCTTAAGAGAATATGCAGCATGTCTTAGAGGTACATGGCTTATTGGAGACAGTGGATATCCACTTGAACCATTTTTAATGACACCTATACATCAGCCACTTCAAAATTCACCTGCATCTAGATATAAGTCACTGCTCAGCTAGTAATTGTGTAGAGAGATGCATAGGTTTGTTGAAGACAATATTTAGGTGTCTTTTAAAACAAAGGTCATCAAGGTACTTTCCACAGGTTATTGGGTCAATTATTAATGCCTGTGCTGTTTTGCACAATATGTGTTTTGAAAATAATGCAGTTTTTAATGAAAATATACAACAAGAATCCAATAATGACTATTTAAACTATAATAATAACAATAATAATAATTTGTTAAATGAGCGAAGGCAAGTTCAACAGGATATTATAGATTTATTTGTATTTTACATAAACACTGTGCTTTATATTAATAAATGTACTTACTGTTGCTGTTCTTTATTTTGATATAAGCATGTATTATAAATAAAAATAAAACTTTAGAAAACAATTTTAATTCAGTTAATATGGGAGAAACTTAAAATAGCTTTAGTTGTCTTGCGTTTAAAAAACACTTTCTTTTGATTAATGATGTCCTTTACTTTTTAAAACTGCAATAAGTTCATCAAATTTTGAACTTATGGTATTATTAGGTTCGTTTAAATTTGAACTTATGGTATTATTCATTTCCTTTAAATTTTTTGCGATATTTGTTTCAATATTATTTAAACAACGAATAATGTCTTATACAGATTGTCAGTACTTTCACATGTATCGCCTCTTTTAATTTTTTTTGTTATAGGATTTGTTTTTTCTTCGGGATTAAATAATCATGGTCTATTGCAACTCTTTTTTTTGTTTTTGGCGTCATATTACTATCATTATTTTTAATAGTTTTCAAGTCCATTTTGGATAAGATACCAGAAGTATTAGGCTTTATATAATTAAGATAAAAATAATAAATATACATGTTCATATAATTTAAAATCATTAATTAATTTTAGTAAATACAGAAGTATTTAAATGAACTTGGGGTCCCACAACCTTCATAAAAGGTATTTCCTAGTGAAGATAAAACTCTCATTTAGTTATTTTTTCAGTTCTGGCCCCCCGCCTGTTCCCTCTTGGGCAATTTTTATTTCGCTTCCTTTTTTTTAGGTTACATTTGTAATCAGTCCATGTCTAAAACATATTTATTAATTAAAATTCAAAACTTTAGAGAACTATACTATAGTACAACAAAAAATTAATGAAAAAAGTCATTTACTTAAGCAACAATAATGTAAAAAACCTAGCAATAATACATGACAGACAAGAGTACTTTTTATTGTTTTAGGGTCGATCTTTTCACATAGTAAAGTTACATGTAGATTTACTTCATAGATTAATAAACAATAATAGCCCTATAGTTTAATTAGCAAGCAGTTACTTTCAACTTTACTCAGAGGTGAAAAGACTGGCCCTTAGAGAATTAAAATTTCAATATTTCTTTGCTAGATTTTAACATACCTTTTGTCATTTTTCTTTCTTCTAAATCTAAAGAATTTAACCTTATTTTTATTTCGGTCCATAAAAGTTTGTATTTTTCTTTGGCATTATTTGTGGACAACCGTCTAGTGGCAAAATCGTTGTGAGTTCCCATAAAGCCAATCAAAACTTCCATGTGTTTCTCTTTTATTTTAAAAGCCATTTTAAAATTGCTTAAATTGTGAGGTTAATAGTGTTAAACTTACTTCCTCGATACCATCAAAGTTGTCGACTAAAATTGGACGGCATTTTGCAGAAAGGTACCAAGAACAACTTATCGACCAAATAACAGAGAAGTGTTCGTCAGTTGACCTCGGGAAAAAGATTTTGGCCACGGGAGATGCCATTAGCCTTAACACCATCATTGCCGAGCCCAACTCATTGGAAACGATTGCGAGACAGTTATCTGAATTCAACATCAACAAGTGGCATTAATGCCATTTTACTCGAATATCATAAAAGGTAAAAAATAATAATAACTAAAATAACGAAAACAAAATTTAATAAATAATAGTATTATTAGTATATAAAAATAATATGAGATGTACAGTTTATTATTTTTCAGACATATATTCACAAAAAAATGTTCTCGCTACGGCATGGAAGACAACGGTAAGCAACACCAGTGCCAAACAAGGAACGTTACCTGTCACATTTGTAATCGAGCTGGTCATTACGCAAGGCGCTCTTTTAAAAAAAGATGTTTTCAGTATATTAATAAAAATGAAAACAAACATCCAGCACTTAAAAAACGTTTTAAGTCATCAAAAGTAACTGCAAGAACCAATGTGGAAGCTGAAGAAGAACATGTATTCCATCTAGACAACAACGATGACAAAGTTGAATTTGAGTAGGGGGAGTTATTATAACCATGTTAATAGACTCAGTAAATGTAATATAATGTCAGAATTTCTCATTGCTCCTTTTGTAATTGAAAATGTTTTTGCATTTACCACTCCCTTATCGAAATTGCTGCAATCAGTTAATATTGATTTAGGAAAAGCAATATCACTAGCTGAAAGTTGTTAAAAGGAGCTTAAAGATTTATGTTATAAAGCAGATAGTAGTTTTACAACTATTTTTGCAGAGACACAAAAATAAACAAATTATTTGGACAAGAAATAACAAAACCACGCATAAGTAGCAGACAAAAAAAAAATGCAAATTTTGAAACTAATACTGCTGAAGAATATTTCAGACTCTTTGTTCCGCTTTTAGATTACGTCATACTGCAATTAGAAGAGAGGTTTGTTAAACATAAAGAAATACTACAATCATTTAGCTGTCTTATACCGTCGCCAAATAAAAAACCTGACAATGAACTTCAAAGTCTTAAGTATTTGGTAAACTTTTATGAAAATGTTTTAGAAAATTATTCATTTACTATAGTTTCTGCCGAATTCAGGCTTTGGTATAGACCAGGGATGGCCAAGAGGTCGACCGCGATCTACCGATCGACCGCGATCTACCGGTCGACCGCGAGGGCGATTTAGGTAGCCCGCGAGAGTTAAATAAACTGAATAGACAAAATATGAAAAAATAACATTACTTATTTTAAAATGTATTCGCGCCAAGGACTGACTATAGGTACTACTCACACGCTTCGGTCGTAACGTGATATCGTTGCGTGCGTATGTGTGAGTCAGTCATGTAAACGCGACTCACCGCTGTCTCTTTTCTTTTCGCATTGTTTTCTCACGGCTTGGTTTGGTAGCTAGCCAGTGCTAGTTTCGACTTGAGTGCGAACGGATTACAATTATTAATTTGTTGCGTCGCGATAATAAAAAATTAACGTAGGGACCTTGTGACTTAGTGTTTTTTAATTAGTATTATTAAATCAGAATGAGTGGGCCACCTACTTCGAGTGCAAAAAAAAGTAAGACTTACCATTATCACAGTGAGTGGGAAGAGGAATTTTTTTTCGTTATGGTCAAGGACAAATGTGTGTGTCTAATTTGCAACTCAAGTGTAGCATTACCGAAAAGAGCAAATGTTGAAAGGCATTTTAAAACTACGCATTCCAAATACGCCACCGATTTTCCATTTGGCAGTGAAAACCGAAAGATAAAAGTACGTGAATTAAAAAGCAGCTTAAGTGCACAACAATCTTTTTTTACGAAACCAGACTCGAAATCAAAAGCTGCAACACTGGCGTCATTTGCTGTTATAGAAATATTGATAAAACGAAAGAAACCTTTCGAAGATGGAGAAATGATCAAGGAAGCCATGCAGAGAGCTGGAGAAGCACTTTTTAATGACTTTAAAAACAAAAAAGAAATTATTTCAGCATTAAATGACATTTCACTGTAACGAAACACAGTAATGCGACGCAGTGAAGCCTTAAGTGAAAATTTGGAACAATTACTTAATGAAGACTTGCAGAAATGTTGTTTCTTGTCACTACAGTTTGATGAATCCACCGATGTAACCGACATTGCTGAATTGTGCGTTTTCGTGCGTCTAGTTTTTGAAGACATGACGACAAAAGAAGAGTTATTGACGATGATTCCATTGAAGGGGCAAACCAGAGGTGAAGATATCTACAGATCTTTTAAGAGTTTTGTAGAAAAAACTGAATTTCCGATTCACAAACTAGTTGCTATCACGACAGATGGAGCACCCGCTATGCTGGGACAAAAAGTTGGATTTGTTTCATTGTGCAAAAATGATGACAACATTCCAAGTTTCACCAACTATCACTGCATCATACACCAGCAAGTTCTGTGCTCTAAAATTCTCGAATCAGATGTTATTATGAAAATTGCTTTTAAAATAGTTAATTCTATTCGAGCCAGAAGTTTGCAAAGGCGTCAATTTCGAGTTCTTCTTGAAGAGACTGAAGCCGAACACTCAGACCTTTTGCTACATACAGATGTTAGGTGGCTTAGCCGTGGTGTCTTTTTGAAAAGATTTCGCCAATTACTGCCAGAAATCAAGACATTCATACAATCGAAAGGAGAAATTGTACCTGAGCTTGAAGATGAAAAATGGCTTATGAAGCTGGCGTTTCTTTGCGACATAACAGAAAAACTCAATGAGTTAAACCTGAATCTTCAAGGGAAAGACAGAACTGTCATTGACATGATAACATTGATTAATACTTTTAAAAGTCAAATTCAATTAAAACGAGGCGAACTAAAAAATTATAAAAACATGGAAGAAGAATGTACGCACAATTCAAATCGGGACTTTAAAACTTTCTGTAAACAGCTGGAGAATTTGCACCTGGAGTTCGAAAGAAGGTTCGCGGATTTTGCCGCTCTCGAAGAAGTGCTAAGTTTCATGGTATTCCCTTTTAATGAAAATATTGACATTGACAGCTTGACCGTTAAAATCGGCAACTTAACCGATGCTGAATCTGTTGTGGTCGCAGAAAAAATAATTAAAATGAGAAGCGACATATTTTTGAAAGCTAGAGCATCTGGTAGTACAGATTTTTGGAAAATGATTTGCAAAGAAAAGTTTCCATGCCTAAGAAAGGTAGCTTTATATTTGATTTCGTTTTTCGGTTCTACCTACCTTTGCGAATCAACATTTTCAACTATGAATGCAATAAAAACCAAAAATCGTTCCCGTTTAACAGACGCTCACTTAACTTCCTGTTTGCGCATCGCAGTTACTTCGTACACTCCCCAATATGATAAACTTGTGGAGAATATGCAGTGCCAAACATCCACCCAAAAACGTACAGCACAATGAAAGATGCGAATTTCGTATGTAATATTAATATAATATATAATATTTAATTAATAAATACTTACAAATTTATCACAAAAATGTTTTATTTCTCTCTTCTAAACCCTACCTTGCAGTCGACCGCAAGAAATATTTTTGAACACAAGGACCTAACAGGTCAAAAGTTTGGCCACCCCTGGTATAGACAGTTTGAAACTTGTGTACCAGAAAAATATCGAAGCTCCGGTCTCGATGCCCTAATAATGTGTGACCAGGATATATTTCCCAATATATTTGTACTCTTAAAATTTTTTGTACTTTACCTGTAAGCACGGCAACCTCCGAAAGAAAATTTTCGACACTTAAATTGTTAAAGACTTACTTACGAAATACAATAAGTGAAGACAGACTAAATGGCTTATCTCTTTTATATGTGTATTCAGAAATATCAGTTAATGCCGAGGAAGTACTTAACGAAATGCAACTTAAATCAAGAAAAATTGATATGTTCCTTTAGTTTTATTTGAAAGCGAAAAGTTGGACGGTTATATTTACTCTACCTTAGCTTTTTTTCTTTTACTTTTTTTGTGTGTTTATTATAGATAATTATAGTATATTGATGTTTGACTTTTTTGTTTTTTCAAGAATATTTGTTTTTGTTACTTTAGAATAATTTATTTTTTGTTTGAGCCCTTGTGCCTGTTTCGCTTGAAAGGGATCGTATTTAATTTCGTCCACCTTGAATGACAATATAAAGCGTCCACCTATTCTATCATTTTTGACCGCGATAAAATTCCAACGAACCAAAAAAAATCGTTCATGCGCTTGGCAGAACGGAGAGTCATGGAACATCGAATATTGATTGAATGCCGGTAGATTTTTACAAAAAGTACCGGTGATTTTTTTAACGTGTATTAGGAATAAAAATGTAAGTTCTTATTTAAATCAATTACTATATTTCAACTACTTTATATATTATTTAACTTGTTCATGGTTCACTATTTCAGATTTGAATTTAACTGTTATAAGTAATTTCATGTTATTTCTTGCTGGTATTTTTTGTATCTGTCATAAAAAATTGCTTGCATTCCAGTTTATTTGATTTTATGACTTATTTTACTATTTAAATCAGTTAAAAATAGGATACTTTTATAAGTTGTGGACTTCCTGTTTCAGAAAATCTTGCAATATTAATACAAATATGCATTTAGAGTCGATGCATAAAACTTTAAAAATATTTCTATCTAGATGGAAAAAAGTTCAAAGATTAGATAAAGGACTTAATTTTTTGCTAAAATATATTAGAGATAAGCTTATTGAACGGTTAATAAAAAACACAAAGGGCAAAGCAACTGCACATACTGAAAAGATTGTTGATAGGCGCAGAAGTGCAATAGCAAACTCTGACTCTTTTAGTGCACATGTTAATTCTGAACACATGTACATTATAAAAGTAAATAACATGTCATATGAGGTATCTAAAATTTTAAATAATATTTGTTGCCATTTGGAAGTTTTGTCATATAAATATTCACTATGGTCAGCATACTAGAAGACGATCTCCTTCGACAAGTATTGAAATAACGTACTTTTACTGCAACCGTGGTAAGACATTTTATTATACACCAAAATGGTGGTATAATAAAACCTCGTTTTTTAATTGCAGGCCAAGTTTATACACCCTTACCTTCAGTTAAAAATTGAAAAAGTAAATTAAAGAGTCAAAGAACTTCTAAGACAAATATGAGTTGCACAAGCACAATTACAATAAGGAAATGTTTGAATAGTAATAAATGTACAGTTATATATTTTAAGACACATAATGGCCACAGTAATCAGCTGCAACATATCCGTTTACTCCTTGGTGATCGAACATCTGTAGCCACAAAATTAATCAGTGGCATTTCTGTATCAAGGTATGAATACTAACAATTTACATATGCATTGTTTTAATCTAAAAATTTGTAGGATTCTAGATTCCACTAGGAATAATATAGATGAAAAATGTTTGAATAGAGCAGATCTTCTTACCAGGGAAGACATAAAAATTATTAAAACATCATTCTCCATAGACATCAATGAAGGACTGCGACATAAAAATTATGCAATAAGTCTGGATATTTGGGTTTCTGAATGTAACAGCACTGAAGAAAATGTATTGATGTACAAAAAGCAAGGAGATGAACATGACATTTTGGAAATGCACGATTTTGTTTTAATATTCATGAACCAGTCTTAACAGCATATGATAAAATCATTTGGACAAAATATAATTTGTGTTGACAGTACTCAAGGATTAAGAAGTTATGATTTTGAGCTTACCACCCTTTTAGTTGTAGATTATTTTGGAGAGGGATTTTCAGTTGCTTGTATGTTCAGCAATAGAAAAGATACAATAGTTTTTGAATTACTTTTTGAAAAAATTAAAGGTAAAGTTGGAAAAATTTTTTCCAAAATATTTATGAGATATTATGTTAATTTTTAATAATGCTTGGAAAACGGTAATGGGTCCTGTCACCTCACAATTATTTTGTTCATGGCACAACGACAGAGCATGGAGATCAAATCTTAATAAAATTACTGATCTTGAAGAGAGAAAGGTAGTTTATTAAGCATTAAAAGTACTTCAGTACTGATGAGGCCATATTTTTAACGGAACTAAACAAATGTCAAGAACTGTTAGACGAAGATAATAAAATTTAAGTTTTTGGAGAATATTTTAGAAAAAATTATGCTCATAATTATGAACACTGGGCATACAGTTTTAGAAGACATTCTGGCATTAATACTAATATGAGGTTAGAATCTCTTTATAAGACAATTAAATATCATTATTTGGGAGGACTTAAAGTAAAATGATTAGACAAGGAATTCACGCAGTATTATCATATCTTAGAGACAAAACTATTGAGAGAATAATAAAAAATATTAAAGGGAAAAATACACAGCATATAGCTAATATTGATAAAAGACATACGATTGCTTTAAGAAGTAAATTTTTGTCAAAATGTAATAATGATGGACATGAAATGTATCTGAAAACAAAAATTACCATATAGTTTCAAAAAGTTTAACCAATGATCCTGTTTGATGCAATCTAAAATGTAATTTATGCAGTATATGCATCCATGCACTTGTGTAGATTATTTTATAAGAATGACTATTTGTAAACATACATTATCTATTACAATTAGTTCTAGGTCTAAGCCTTTTACCAAAGGCAAAGAAATCAACGATGTAGAGTTGAATTAAGAAGTAATTTATCATTTAAAAACGTTGTCAAGTAGTCATCCTAGCAGGTACGAGTAGTAAATCTGATCCAGCAATTATGATCAAGCAGAAGCTAAATTTAAAGAGCTAAATTTAAATGGACTTTGCGACGATAAACTTACACATGCCTTGAAATTGCTAAGTAATAATAGTAATAATAATATATAACTTCAGTTCTTTTTAATTAAAAAAAGGAGTTGTTAATAAAGAAATGTTTGAAAAACCACACGAACAAGACATTATTGAAATGAAGGCAAAAAAATCAACTCTTTGTTGCTTATTTTCTACTAAAGGAGGGCGCTTGTCAACTGACAGATTACTTTGTGTAAAAGGTACATCCTCAGGAGTACTAGATAGTAAAAAAAATAAATCAAGTCCAGAAAAAAACACAGCTGAAATACCAAATAACGACAATGACAAAGATGTAACAGAAAGTGAAAAAACTACCGGTGAAAATACTTTCCTCCAGAAAAACATCAGTGGCGTTTCAATTAACAACGAACAATATTACGCAGTTCTTTACGAGTCGTGGTACATAGGTCGGATTGTTCAAATAATTGATGAAATCTGAACTTCAAGAATACTTATGGCCAAAAAAGACGATATTCAAATAGTAAACAATAAATTTTTTTTTACGGACCCATCAATAATTTAATTGGATCTGGACCATTTAAACTAGAAATAATTGATAAGTTAAACATAGATAAAATTTGTAAACGTTTAAAAAAAAAACTTTTATGAAATTTTTAAATAAAAAATTTCCAATTACTTAACTTGTTTTATTTACCTGTACCTACTCACCTATTTGTTCATTTAGGCATATGAAAGATGTCTAATAATGGAGGTATGTAAGTACCTACATAGAAATTTATATTACGTGAATCACATCAATTAAACTTATCTTTTGAATGAAGAAAAAATGACAATAAGTCAATAAAATAACAGTTAGATTATACAAACCAAGAAGAAGTTGATATCCAGGGTACAGAGACTGATACACCCGATAATGACACCATAAAAGTATCAGGGGGTTCGAATCAAGATGACAAGCAGGAAATGACCGATGAAGAAATAAATCCAAATAAAGCTATAAGGGTTTTGCAGAACATAAGCCTAAATATTCCACAGTTAAATGATGTTTCGCCTTCTTTTAGAAAACATTTGTACTTTCCAGTATCTCCGTCAAACACAGTTACCAGGAACGAAAAAAAGGAACCACTTCCGGCAGCCATTTTATCAGAAGGGTTTCGACGACTGATCCAGAAAAAATAGACGACAAGCAGAAGGCCAAAGAAGAGAAAGATAAAAGAAAACAAGTCAAGCTTAAGCGCTCTGCTGAGAAAAATACAAAAAGTGCCAGAAAAGGAATAAAGAGAAAAAGGACTGAAGATACGGAAAGGGCAGAAGAAACAAATGATGTACCTGAATCAGAAATAGATGGGCCACTACAAATATTAAAGGGAAAATGTGCAACATGCGATGAAGACATGGGCACAGACACGGAAGACAATGACTTAAAAAATATTGGTTGTGACAGGTGCCCCAGTTGGTTTCACTTAAAATGTACACCTTTTCAGGAATGTGACTTCTCTGACATCCAGGATGCAGAGTTTATTTGCGGCAAATGTGAACAAAAGTAAAAATAAAATAGTATATTACCTATGTAACTGACTTCTACGTGTGTTATACAGGGTGTTAGTAAATAAGTGCGAAAAACTTCAGGGGGTGGTTCTGCATGAAAAAATAATGACAATTTGCTATATAAACGTATGTCTGAAAATGCTTCGTTTTCCGAATGCGGGGTGTTAAAGTTTTTCTTAAAACCTGACGATTTGTTTATTGCTTTGAAACCGGTCAAGATATGCAAATGAAATTTGGTGGATTTTAAGAGGTAGTTATTCCGCATTTTTTGACATGCAATTAAGAATTTTATGTTCATCATTGGCGTGCATACGGGTAATGATCTCAATTCATTTAAAGAAAAAAATGGTACGCCACTGAGATATTTCAAATTAAAAATAATTTTTGAATTCATCATTAAATTTTTCACAAAAAATATCTCTGGCCTTTTTTTCGTGTGGGGCGCCGTTTTTATGCAAAAAAATAATAATGCTATTTGTTTTTGTCAATACGAATTCAATCTAGCAAAAAGTGGCGCCCAACGTGGAGAGAGAACATCTAAATTTAGTGCGAGTTTTAATGCGAAAATAGTGTGCCAAGCTGATAGCTGATTTGCAGAGTTAATATTACCGCAGTTTTACAAACTAGTGGAAGGCCCTGAATTGAGTAGGGGCGCCCGGGCTCGGATGGGGACCGATCGGAGCCATAATTGAAATTTGAATACCATGGTTTTCAGTCAATTTGTATAAAAGCTTCTTCCGGTGTCCCTCAAGGTTCAGTTCTAGGACCAATTTTATTTTCCAATTTTGTAAATGACATTACTGAAAACCTATCATGTAATACTCTACTCTATGCCGATGATTTAAAATTGTTTAAATCAATCTCCAGTATTTATGACTGTTTGATTATGCAGGAGAACCTAAATAAATTGAACCTTTGGTGTAATTCTAACAACTTACCACTAAAAATATCTAAGTGCAATTCTATCAGCTTCACTCGCAAACTAAATCCGGTTGAGTATAATTTCACTGTCAACAATATTACCATCAAAAAATGTCTTTGTTTTAGAGATCTTGGTATTCTTTTCGACGCTAAGTTAAACTTTATTGAACATGTCAATACTATTCAAAAAGAAGCATACAGAAATTTGGGTTTTGTCATTCAAAATGGACGCCAGTTCTCTGAGCCTAACACTTTAAAAACTATTTTTAACTCTTTTGTACGTAGTAAGCTAGAATACGCGTTCATTGTTTGGAGTCCTGGATATGAAGTACATAGCCGGGCATTAGAAAAAATTCAGCGAATATTTCTCAAATATTTGTGGTGCAAGCTAGATGGCGTCTACCCTACTCGCAATATTCCTCAAACCATCTTGCTGAATAGATTTGATATCCTTGAATTACGTACTTGCAGGAAATGTTATTCCATCTGCATTCTTTACAAATTATTAAATTTTAAAATTGACTGTCCCGAACTTCGTCAACTAATGTTTAATGTTTCTAGTATCAGAACTCGCTCCCCTTTGTATTTCTATTTTCAGACACCCAGGACAAATATTTTAAAATTTTCTCCAATGTATTTTATGCATCAAAATTTTTGTGAACTTCAAAATGCTGTTGATTTATTTTCTACTTTAAAGAAATAAAACGCTTAATTGTGGATTGAGTTAATTATCAAGACAACGTAATTTTTTCTCCTAACGGAGATTTTTTTGCGTTTTCTTATGATGGTTAAAAACGTTTATTAAACTATTTTTTGTTTATATATATTTATGCTATTCTTAGTATTTAATATTTTGTTATTCATTTTATGATGTAAATTATACTGTAATTGTAATTATTTTTGTGCCCATCCTGTAATTGGTTTTATACTGTTGGATGGTGTAACCCAAATAAATAAATAAATAAGTTCACATACTCTGACATAGGAGGACAAAAAAGAGTGTTCATTCATAAATCGATAACAAAGATGACAGGAGCAAGCTCATACAGTGGCAATCCACCACGCGAAAAAAGACAAAAAAACTCAGGAAGATGTGTTAATGTAAACCACAACGTTTCCCGTACCAACATACAACAGATTCGGAATTTTAGACAAATTAAATGAAACCGAAAATAGTGACAAAGTAAATACAAACATTAAAAGAAACCAAGACAACAATAAAAAGAAAACAATACCACCGATAGTAGTTACCCAGCAGATTGGGAACTACAGGGAATTCATCATAAAAATAAAAGAAATTCAATGATAAGCAAACAAAATTTTATATAGACACAGACAAACAATAATAAGACACTTGGAGAAAGATAAGATTGATTTCCACACTTATACTCGAAGAAAGGACAAAATCAAAAAAATTGTGCTAAAAGCCGCTCCAGGCCTAGACCTAAAAGATGTAAAAGAGGAACTCGAGTTTGACGGCGTACCAGTAATCGACATCATTAGACTAAGAAGCAAGTCAGAAAATGTAGAAAGTCATTCGTATCGAGTGTGCGTTAAAAAAGAGCAAAATCTAAGAGAACTTCATAAAATAACAAGGGTACAAAATACTAAAGTAAAATGGGAAGCCTATGCAAAAAATAATAGAATCACTCAATGTTATAGGTGCCAAGAATTCGGCCATAATCAGGCAAATTGCCACAAGGAACCCAAATGCGTGAAATGCGCGGAAGGACACCAAACAAATCAATGCCCGCTACCAAAAAACAGAAAAACAAAGTAACATGTGCCAACTGCAATGGTGAGCACACTGCAAATTTCACACAATGCCCAACGTACTTAGAATACTTGGAAAAGTCGAATGAGGATAAAAATAAAAACAGAAAACAACCACATGCCTCAATCAACAGAATGGTAACAACAAACAGGACATACAGCCAAGCAACTTATTAATCAAGAAATGAGCGAAATGGCGCAAATAGCCAATGAATTAAAAGAAATAAACAAGATTTTCAACCTGGGTAAAATGTTAAAACTACTTAAGCAAATGAAACAAGAACTCATGCAGGCGACCTCCTTTGTGGACCATGCCCATGTATTCATAAAATACGAGGAACTATACCAAAAATAAATCCTCAAAAAAACATAAAAATTATACAGGCAAATATTTTTAGCCTAAGAAAACGAGCAATAGAGCTCAAGGAAATTTATATACCCTTATATAAATAAAACAAATCCACTAAACAGAAATATAAAAATTCAATTATACAGAGCACACGTTAGACCAATACTAACATACGCGGCCCCAGATTGGAACTCCACGTCGAAATCAAACTTGAGAAACATATCACGGACAGAAACAGCCACCTACAGGACGATCATGGGGACAGACAGAGAAATCACGAACCTAGCAATTCAAGAAGAATTAAACTACGAACATATCGAGGAAATAATGTTAAATTCAACAAAGAACTTTTTTGAAAAAATCGTTATAAGATCACCGCTTACCAAAGGAATAGGACAAGAAAATTATCACGAACTCGATTACAGAGTGAAGCATCGCCTGATGAACCACTGGGTTCAAAACCGGGCATAACTGGCTAACAACAAGATAGGTAGAACACAGCCGAAAAAAGGTCCTACCATGAAAATTAAAGAAAAATTAAAAATCATGAGAAAAACGAAAATAAACTCAAGTGTTAGGTGCAAATGCGGGACTAGCAAATAATGTCATGGCCGAGAGGCAGAAAATCCAAGAAGAAAAGGCTTATTACATTATAATTAATAATAATAACAAACAGAACTTGAAGAAATGAACAGAATAATAAGAACATCACTGACAAAACACCGCATGAATCACCCAAATGCTTGTATAGAAAGAATGAACATAACACGACCAAACGGTGGCAAGGGAATAATTAACATTTCAGAACTACACCATAAACAAATAAAAAATCTCACTAAATACTTTCTAACTAAAACCAATAGCCCAATACATTCCGCTGTCATACAAGCAGACGAATATACACCACTTGGTCTTAAGATAGCTCAACAACACGACGACGAACAAAACGACAGATACGAAGTAAAATTGATCAACAGATGGAAGACTAAAACACTCCATGAAAAATAAATTGGATTCGTCGAACAAGAGCAAATAGATCAAAAGCTAAGTCACATGTGGCGCAAGAAAGGACAACTGTTTCCAGAAACAGAAGGATACGCCCTAGCAATTCAAGATCAAGTCATAAATATACGAAACTATAGAAAACACATACTAAAAGACACAACAATAACACCTGAGACTTGTCGAAAATGCCATCTAACCTCAGAAACTATCGACCATATAAGAGCAGGATGAAAGTTATTAGCTGGCACGGAATACACTGAGAGGCACAATAAAGTCGCAAAAATAATACATTTAGAGCTAATCAATTTGAATAAAATAGATAATAAAACAACACCATTTTACCAATATCAGCCTCAATCAATTATTGAAAATCCACATTATAAAATATACTATGATCTACCAATTCAAACTGATAAGACAATTAGGGCCAATAGACCTGACATAGTATTTATTGACAAATTAAAAAAGACGACCTATCTGATTGACTTCTCCATACCAAACAATAACACCATACAACAAAAATTTAGAGCGAAAATAGACAAATATACACCACTGGCTACAGAAATTAAGAGGATCTGGAAACAAGACAAGGGTCGTCATACCGCTTATCATTTCCGTAATGGGCATAACACCAAAGAACCTCATACAAATGCTACGAACACTAAATATTCCGGAATATATCCATACCATAATTCAAAAAACAATCATACTCAATACGTGTACTATTGTCAGGAAGTTTCTCAACTCAGACCACATACCAAATATGCAAGAGGCATGACTTGGCATTGCCCGTTGTAGAAGAAACTACCGATAAATCGAGAAAATAAAACAATAATAATAATGTTGCTACCGTAACAAATATTTCCAAGCGAGACGGTACAGCCAGCAAGGTTGAAGGGATCACGAGTACCACCAGTGATCCATACCGGGCTTTAAATCGAGTCGGTAGCCCATAGAATACCGTAACTCGTCAAGACGCCCTGGGTTAACAACCCTAGGTGTTAAGTTTCTCGCATTGTTATGAATCGAAATGTTGAGCATGCTCCTGACAATCTGCACCTTTCGTATGGGTGCAATGGGCAAGATGGAGGAACAACCGGACAAATGCCCTTAGACGGACTTGGCGCTTTCAAAGGACGGATGAACTTAGGGATGTCCTGCTGGACACATATAACAACAGCGAACCTAATAGGAGAGGCTACATGGCACGAATGCACGCCCTTTGGCGTACAGCACAGCCTCGTTATGAGAGTCTCTCTAGCCAACAACTAAGAGACTATGTAGCATATCTCAAAAGATCTGGATATGTTAGGACGCCCCGATTTCAAGAAGCAGAAATACCGGCACTCAATATGACTATTGACCAACCAGCGGATAAATCATCGAACGATGAAAATAATGCTTCTATCCCAGTGAACGTCGACAATGGATTGATCGAACGATCAAAACACCTTAACACCAGAGCATATATAAACGATCGAAATCTTAGCAGAGTGCACGCAGAACTCGGTGAGGAACTTTCAGAAGCTACAGACATTGTAACACTTAATAACGCTGTCTATTGGGCCGCCTCTCGTTTAATAACAGATATTATAACAAATGGATTTTACAAACAAATAAGAAAAATTGAAAGGCGAATACAACAAGTCACAAACAAAATATTCCAATTTAGGCAACAAGCCTCTCGAATACAGTGTGTAATAGAATATATTTCGACGAGAAGGCAATTTACCATGAAGATCAGGAAGATAGCTGCAAAACTACGCCGAGAACATCATACATTAAACAAGACAACGCTAGTCACCATCAAACTGCGTTGTTCTGACCGTATTCGGACCCTAGGAGTGGTAAAAAACAGCTTGAAAAGAGGGTCAAAGTGATAGGGGACAATCAAAATTTCTTGAACAAGCCATCACGTTTTCTAGAAGGCCAAAGGCCAACTGAACCTCCAACAACTCAAGATGTGGAAAGCTTTTGGAAACGAATCAACGAAGTGGTAATACCATTAAATCAAGATACTCCTGCTTTATCTGAGTTCAGAAGGTATTGCGCCAATTATCAAATAAATCCTGATGCGAGCCCAGCTATCACCCAGGAAGAGGTTAAAAAGGCCTTGGAGGGAACGAAAAACTACTCAGCACCTGGCTTGGATGGGATCAACAACTTCTGGTGGAAAAAGTTTCCGTGTACTCATCAACACTTAGCTAGAATTTTTAACCCTTGGATTAATGATGACGCAATCAATTCCTGGGTGGTTTGTAGAAGGTCGAACAACGCTTATTCCCAAAAAAGGAGACCTGAATGATCCGAAGGATTACCGACCGATCACCTGTCTTAACACTTGTTACAAAGTATTTATTCGTATCTTGTATTATCGCGTTTTAGCTGTAGTGGAACCGATCCTGAGGGATATAGGGGAACAACGAGGAGGATAGAAAAAACTAGAAGGCTGCAAAGAAAATCTACTGATAGACATATGCCTAACTCAGGATTCAATTCAATACAAGCGAAACCTATCGATGGCTTGGATTGATTATAAGAAGGCTTTTGACACAACATCACATGAGCTTCTTGTATATCTCTTCAGAACGCTTGCAGTACCTCCTCAAGTAATAAAACAAGGTTCCATATAACAACTGGGAATGAAAAGATAATTACTGAGCTAATAACATTCAAGAAAGGAGTCTTCCAAGGCGACTCTCTCAGTCCTCTGTTGTTCTGTATCTCGTTACTTCATACTTCAGTAAGCCTTCGTAAGACTCGCGGATACGCCTGTGGGCCACACAAGGTGACACATCTATTTTATATGGATGATCTAAAGCTTTATGCTACGAGTGACCGAGATTTAAAACAGTCTCTGAAAGTGGTTAAACAGTACACCAACGATATAATATAATAATAATAATAATAATAATAATAATAATAATAATAATAATAATAATAATAATAATAATACTCTCCCTAATTCACCCCCTTACGAGTGAATTTCAACCCCTGAAGTCAACTGAACGACTTGTGTAGGGGAAGGGACGGCTATTATTATTATTTGCCGTGGCGTTCCGGGGCGACTTAAAGATGATTGATGGTGCCATTTGACTTACAGGTGAGGAAAACCCGGAAAACCTCACCCACCATCATCGAGACGGTAATGTATGGCGAATTTTTTTAATCTGCATGTCATATCAACAGAAATTGAATTTCTATTAATACGCCACACATCAAATCCTAAATCGAACCATGCAATTTAATTAAAAATCCATCCACATGGTCTGGTCTGGGATTCGAAACCCAGCAGTCTCAGACTCATAAACTTGCCTATAAATGAATATAAGCGCGATAGACCGCTACACCACCGTCCCGATATAGGTATAGGTATATGGAACTCGGACTGGATAAGTGTGCGGTAATTAAACTTTTCAAAGGCCGAATCAAAGACCAGCCAGACAACGAACAGCTCACCGATGGAGGCATTTTACGTTATTTGGAGCCCGAAGAGACTGGTAGCCAATTTGTTTGGAATGCCTAATAATTATTTATAAGTTATAAGTATTTTTCCAATTTTGTCTCGAGTTTGGATTATTTGTTTTCTCCTTTTGTTATGGATTAAAAAAAAAGCACGTAACCTCAAAACAAAAAGAAATATTATTAC